CCCCAAAACCCCAAAACCCCAAAACCCCAAAACCCCAAATTTCAAGAGAAGATTGAAATTTTAATGAATTAATTTTTATTGATAAAATTTGAGAGGATTTTAGAAGATTAAAGATATTAAAAGAGAGCAAAGGAAGTTATATAGAAGGTTTTATGAGGAATTTTGAGGGCTTAAAAAAGGAATTTAAAGGTGATAGGTTTTCGGAGAGATAAAAAACTCAAAGTATGAGATGAATTTGGCTGTGGGAACTTTGGTTGTGTTAATAAGGGAAATTAAGACGAGTAGCATAATTGCCCATTAATGATTGTTTCAAGGCATCTTTTTGGGATTTGAAGAATTTCGAATTGGCTGATACTCTTGGAAAAGAGTCTACAAATTAGAAGAAGCATACCCTTTGGCTTATATCTTAGGATTTCTAAGATCTTGCCGGTCTGAGGGGTTCTCTGAAACTTCTAGGTTATTAATTTAGTCATCATACTTTTGAATATGCTGTTTTATTGCTTAGAGAACTGAATTTCCATGCATTATTTTGAGCCCTTCTTTATATGAACTGATCTATGTAATTTCTATAAGAATTGATCATGATTATCCTACACGAGACTTCATAGGTTTTCTCTTGAGAGCCAAATCACCTATGAGAATTGAAATTCAAAAATACCAATAAGATCAGCATCAATTTTAGAATTTGAAAACACTCCTCTAGATCCACTGCTCGTCTTGTTTAATATTTTCTGGTTAGATTTCATCTTTGGTTCTCTTACACTAGCTATATGGGTATACTAAGAGATTGCTGGGAGATATTTGATATCATAATAAGCAGCAATAAGAGTAGATGTCATTAGCCTTCAACAAACCTTAAACACCCAAAAGCTTTCTTACTATATAGCTCTTTCATAGAATTTATAAGATTTTTATTTCCAGATGGGGAATACTTCCTATGACTAGTCTTCAGGCTGATTCTCATTTTTGATTTCTTCCTTCTCTGTCTATGCCAATATTAGTGAAGAATACCTCAGTCATCTCATGTCTGTAAACTTGTTGTAAGTTAAGTCTGGAGAGTCCTACATGGTAAATTATTTAACGAACCTGGTCATTATAGTCCACATTAACTGACCCAGAGTACCTATTCTTCGATAGAAATGCCATATTTTTCAAAAAGCGTTTATGTTCTTTCACTTTTGGAGCTACAAAGTGACTCATATTCTTAGTTTTGGCTGTAAAAAGGGTCATAATATTCAAAGAAATTCATACTTTGGGTCCTAAGATTGCTGAGATAATTCTTAATCTTCTCTCTTCTCTGATTGTATGCACTTGTGAGTGGCTTCTGGTCTGGTTGGTCTCCACTAAAATAACCCAATAGGCTTACAAGAAGAGGTTGCATGGCATGGTTTGGCCTAAAGATTAACTCCTAAAACTCACTGGGATGGTCTAAATTTCTGTCCATTTTTATATTTCCGAAATTTATTTTTGGGGTTTTGGGGTTTTGGGGTTTTGGGGTTTTGGGGTTTTGGGG